ATGAAATCATATATTCATTTTTTACAGAGACATTAATGGGGAGCAAACAATGACAGCTGAACTTAACGCTACTCAACATTTAAATTTAGCTGAGGAATTTCCATCCTAAATTCAGAAAATATCTTCTTAAAGATAAACACTGAAATATATTGAAGATGCATATTATACATGAACTATTTTATTATTAACCTTGTCTGACATCTAGTAAACACTTCAGAAAAGCTCTTTTGGTCTCTACTTCATTGATTTTAATGGAAACCAGAGACCTATTCTATAAAGTACATATAGAAGGCCATATACCACAATGCAAGTAATTTGGCATACATCCATAAGTCTTGAAAGGAGAGGCACTTAGAAGTGTGAATGTGAATTGCTTTGCAATCTGCAGTGTGGTAATATAGCTGTCAACCATATTTCATGTTGTGCAGGACTAGGGATAGAAAGCATCTCTGAAAGACATGATTTTTAACTCACAGAGACTCAATGACTGACATCCAAATACCTTTTTTTTTCCTACTGGGGTCTAAAAAGCCCCATGAAGAAGTACAGTAAAGAAGAATATCTTTCACAGAATGTGAGGAACTTCCCTAAAATTTGGTTGAAATATGAAAAAAATCCTTCTACAGAGGTGCATACAATATTTAAGAAAAAGAAGATCAATGTAATGTACTTGCATACAGCCAGAAAAGTGAAAGTTGGTGGTTTTGGAATAGAGGGTCTGTGACTCCCTAAAAGGTTTCAATTCCTTCTGAGTTTGCACCCTTGAGTTTTACTTTGGGTTATAGGGTGAAAAAAATTATACTCAAAACAATACCTATCAAGCTACCAAGATGCTCTTTTCTTCAAGATGAAATCATTAAAAACCACCAAGTCTTGGCACTATTTCTACCTGAAATTATCTGTTCTATAAGATTTTCTGGCTATTTAGCTTCACTGAAAAGTCTACAAATTTTGGCATATCTCATCTGAGTTCTAGCTTTTTATCAGATCATGAACACATGAAAATCCCTCCTTGCTTCTGCTTTCATTATGAAAGTTTCCCCACTATTTATACATGGCCATCTAAATCAGACAGTAGTGCTGAATTAATGCATTACAGTAATCTGTAATGTGTTAATTCATTTGTAATGCACCTACATTCATCTAAAAAAAGACATATTTGACTTCTGTAGCAAAAGAACATGATTTGTGTGAAAACCTTTATTTTCTTGTACAACTGATTATCTCACTTTCGACTACTGTTTTATGTGTTACGTGTTCTGAGCAAGCCATCAGATTTCTCTATGGTGCAGTTTCTTCAGGTAAATGCTATCAGGATAGCATTTAGTTACCATGTAAAGATGCATAGACAATTTAAGACAAATGACATAAATACACTTATTACTTTGTGTTCTAACCACTGTATAAGCTATACATAGGAACAAGAGTAAAGCATTCACAAAACAGACATTTTAAAATGAAACAGGTTTTAAGCACTCAGATTCTGGAATGAGGTGAGGTTTTGAGTTATATACCCAGTAATATTGCAGTGAATGCAATATTGTGGCATAGATGGAAGTAATCTTTCAAAAACCTCTTCACCTCTAGAAACCTTAGAATTTAATAACCAGTTCAAATTAGTCCAATTCAGGATGTAATCCAAATAACTTTTCTCAAGAAATGATAAAGAAAATACTCCTGCATGTTTGGTGTCCTGTAGCTTGTACCACACACTCAGTACATTTTTCATCTCCCTGCTTTACAGAACTCAATCATAATTAAAAAAAAAAAAGTTTCAAATTGCTAAGAAGGAACCCAATGCATTTGATAGTGGATAAAGTCAGGGTCAGTGTCTGATTTGCTGGCGCTTTCCCAGGCACGAGACATGTTTTCCCCTGGGGTCATCAGGTCCAAGCTGTATTCTTTCTGCCAGGCACTTTGTAATGTGCAATGAACAGTGTCATTTATTTTCATTTCCTCATACTTAATTGCATGCTTCTTGCTTCCAATATTAAGTCAGAAGGCAGGTGGTAGAAGCAGTAAACTAAACTACTACTAGCTGTCAGAGTTACAGACCATGCTACTCTCCTTGTGAAACAACCCGATTGTTTACAATTCAGCAGAAACTGCTGAACTGGAAAAACATTTGCTTCCATTGCACATTCAATAAAGATTTTTTCTTTTATTCTGAAAAAAAGAAAACCAAAAAGTGCTTACCAAACACACGCTACTTAAATTAATCAACACTTTATCACAGTAGTAGGAAAAAATATATAAAGTTACTGTTTTTTGTAAATGTATCAAAAATACTTTTAAGGTATAGATGGATGTCTGCTTTAGCCAAATAACATGTCGGTAATAATACTTCTGGAATTAATTAATTCAGCAGTAAGCTAGTTAAAAATTTAATGATCATGCCTGAATATAGAAAGAAGACATTAATTAGGTATGCAAAGTTTACAGTTATTGTATTTGGAATTAAATTATTTCATTCATTGCAGAAGCTAGCATTTATTTAATTTTCACCTCTTATAATTAACAAAATAAAGTTTTATCAAAGACCTCACTACAGAACTTCCTTAACTTCACCTTCATGATGCACCTGTACTTCATTTCTGATGTGTTTTATAGATGGGTATGTCACCTAGATTTAGGGTGATTCAGATCAAGTCAGATTTATTGGCATATTTATGTCACTTACTGTATTCATAAGTAGCACTTTATAAGGTACAAGAACTATTTCAAGTAGTAACTTTTGCAACAGATTTGTGTTATTTTTGAAATATTCTGCTGAAACATACTAAAATCACTCCATACTGCTGTTAAAAATGACATAGGGGAAAAACTAAAGTAACAATAAATATATGTATGATCCTTTAAAAAATTATTATATTATTATTTTATTTGTTATTATTTATATTTATTTCATTTATTAATTATATTAATTATTATATTTATTATATTAAAATAATTTTAAAAATTTATCACTCCAGTGACTACACAAGTGTTTTAATAAGAAAGGAGGTGCCAGCTATTCCTTCTGAAATTGTTTAATAATGCTAAATCATAAATACAGGATTTCTACACATATTTGCTTATTTGCATAATAATACAAATGTTAGCAACATAACAAACAAAAATGCACTACATCAGAACATGCTCTCCATTATAGTTCATAATTTTTTTATGTACATGTCCTTCTATGCTAATTAATAACTAACAGTATACAATTTCCTGTTTATTATAAACATAGTGCTGTTCACTTTCTGTAATACCCTACTAAGAGATTACAGATGCTGTTATCACAGGATAGCATATTTCAGCTGCAAGAAATACAAATATAGCCAAGTTCAGGCTCAACCCTGCTAAATTTTTCATGCAGGGTTCTGTATGGAAGACTTTACACCTTGGCATTACACCCTCTTGAAGTCAGTGGAGCTCTGAGCTAACGAAGGATTGCCTTGCTTGCCCAATAAAATGGAATTGTGGAGTTTCATATCACAAGGAATGAGACATCCCATTTAGAAACAGTAGCAACATCACAGCAGGCACACTTTATTAAAGCAAAATCCATTCCTAATCTCTCATGTCTGAAAAAAAGATACAAGCAGGTGGGCAAAAATTAAGTTACATTTTAAACTTTTCCCACTACCAACAAGTCTTGACTGAATTTGTTTATTTTTATAAAGTATCTTTTTCTTCATAGAATCTTATGGTGCATCCAGACCATCCTAAACAAACTGAAGATCCAATTATTAGGAAATGAGTGGGCAAAAGTTTAATATTTTAAAAGCTACTGAACTGTCTAAAACATCAAATTCTGATTTTATTGTATGACCTAGCTTTTAATATATTTAATTTTATTTCTTTTCAGTGAAACTCAGGTTTGCAGAGACAGTTTCTCAAGGTACTCAGGAACCTCATTAAGTTCCAAAGTATTCATATAGTCCCATTGAAATCAATGGAAGATAAACGTCTTCTGAAAATCCCAATCAGTCTTTTTTCTTTCCATTCTTTAGGATTAAAATATCATAGGAAATATGATTTTTAAGGCCAGAGTTTTAACCTTATTAAAACACCTATTTCCTAAGTGGCAAGCTAATTTGTTCTGCCTTACAATCAGTGGTGAAGGACAAAGAAAATGTGAGGTGAGCTATTTGGAATTGACCACCACTTTCCATATCCAATTGGAAAAATTCAGGGTGACCTCCTTTTTGCCCCTTACCAGGGGCACCTGAAACTAGGTGAGATGCATCAGACTTTACAGACTAAAAATAATTTCTTTTGGATGCATCTTCAAAAAATGGAAGATCTTTTCCCTGTAACTCTGACCAATGTTTTTTGCTCCACCTCCAAGCTCCTCTCTTGTGATCTGTACTTTATGACAAATTAAAGACAAACCCAGGAAAAAAAAAAAAAAAAAAAAAAAGAGGGGAATCCCAACTGAATATAAGGAAAGCTTTTAAATTCTGAAATTCTGAAGAAGAAAGGGATTAAGATGTTTCTCTGCCCACAGGATGCTCTATTGCCAAGTTCTTGGTTAACAGTACTTTTGAATGATTTTGCATTACCAAAGTTCACTCACATAATGAAGAATAAGTAGCAATGTCAGTCTTTCCCTAGTCCAGAAATGCACTTTATAATAACAACTTTTAGAATATAAAGACATTCCTTTTGTTAGTGAGGGGGGGTAGGGGTATGGGGAAGAAGGGAGGAGAGGGGACAGGCCAATTTACCACTTAATAGAATTCCTGGCATCCAGCTTAGCTAGCAAAATTTCTCAAGAAGTCCTGGGGAGACCTAGGTATGGCACACAACAGAAATTACCTAGGAAAGTCAGTGCACTCAGGAGAAACTGGGAATATCAAAGGGAAGGGACTATTAAAAGTCTTTAATCTACACAGTTATGTTGCATTGAGCATGCATAGAAGAACAGACCTCCATCCACTGAAGAGTCACAACATACAGTTTTATTATAAGCACTGCTTTCATAATCCAAAGGGGAATTTCCTCACACCTCACACTTCACAAAGTCTTTCCTCCCAAAGAAAACCAGATGCAGAAGTATTTTCCAGCTCTTGTCCTGCCAAAAAATTTCATTAGGAAAGATGGAGAAAGTAAGATGGTAGCAAGGTGAGTGACATGAATTACAGCCTGCAGCAGGAGAGACCCAGGATCCATCAATTGATTTAAAAAAATAAAACAGTAAACTTTTCAAAATTAAATGTCTTATACCCAAAAGACAACTAAGTCTCCCTTTCTGTAAGAGAAGGCCATAGTTACTAAGCCCTTAGCAGTCCCTTATCCCTGCATACTCAGGAAACCATTAGTTGGGAAACTTTCTGAAGTGGGAATGCTGGAGGCCAAAATTTGCACAAATATAATTGATAGACCACTAACAGCTACCAGTTAAGTTATATAGGTTAGCTGGGGAAAAGAATGCTTACTTTGAGAATTCCAATAGAGTTTGAATGTAAAAGACTACTCTGCTCTGCATGGTCAATGCATGGTTAAAGCATTTGCATTTCTCCTGGCATTATCCAAAAAAGACATGTCTCTGTACTGAAGACATTGATAACTCAGGATGAAAATCCTCCTGGCCTTATCCTGCAGCTGATCTGGGATATTTTGAAATTAGGCAAGATAAGCACTCACAGTACTAAGCATAAAAGTCTGTCTGTAGAGTCCAGCCTGACATGTTTTTGGAAATTAAGGGTCTTTCCCAAAAGACTGCACTGTTTGTATTTTTAAAGTCAATCAAAAGTGTTGATTTTTGCAAACTCAAGACCAAAGTCCTCACTGAAAAAATCATACCATTTAGAAAAATTATGATCCTCCAAAGATACATTTATCAAACTTCAGCCAAGAAGACTGCTGACTATAACTATGACACTAGCAGTGACATGTTGGCCTGCCTGCAACACAAATTGGTTTGTGCTAAAAGAACCAAACCACCAAAAAAAAAAAAAATCAGAAGTGCAAAATCCACTTCCTTATACCTTTGGGGACTCACTCCATATGTTTTTGACTGCCATTGTGATACTGCATTTGGAGGCATCCAGAAGTGTTTGAGGGCTGGCTGTAACTAAAAGTATCTTGAACTTTAAAAAATACATCTAGCATTTATGCACAGAAATGCCTTTCATGTTTCCATTTCAAGAGCATCCAGTCTGTAATCTTGCAGATCACTTATTCACAGGTTATGTCTATGTATCTACAAATTTCCAAACTGCAGTGTTTGTTTTTCATCTATCCAGATGAGTACCCCAAAAAATACCACTGACCCTTTGACATGATAAATGACGCTGTGGGGATTTTATTGCTAAGATGCAAAACTCTGGAGAGTCATGTAATCATGCAATCTAATTAGTCTTTTAGATGGTGAAATGTCATTCAGGGGAGAGATACTTTACAAATAATATTATCAGGATTCTCTTTTCCCTCCCTCTTTTCTAAATTGTCTTCATAGACATAGATATACACAAATACACTGCCATACACTATCCAAATGACTGGCCTGGATAAGATCATTTCGGCTTAGACAGACCATTGTTTTTTGCTGAATTTCATTTAGAAAGGCTTTTTGAGTTGTAGACAGAATCTTTACAGAGTACACATTGATGAGTACATGTTGAAAATGCAGAGAAAAATATTTTTAAGTTCTGTCATTCCCTATACTCCATTTCAATTTCATTTTTTATGAAGGCATTCGAAAGCAGTGGAGAATCTAGTTTGAACCTTTAGTTTTATTTTAGTTTTCTCATGTCTAAATTATAAAAGGCAGATCCCAATTCTTTGGGTACTGCAATTTAATTTACCTCCAAAGATGCATTTTTTCTTCTTCTTGCTGTATAGTTGCTCACAGCTGAAATTGTTCAGTCATAATGAAAACACACTTACTGCATTCCAAATGCTTACACAAGTATGCATTTGGGGAATAGCTTTCTTTTATTTAAAGTTATCTGCAAGGAAAAATATTGTAAAATATACCATTCTTGAGAGAGTTTTCAGAAAAAGTTAAGCAGAATTAAAAAATATATTTCAGGTGACTATTCTATTGAGCTCAAATTTCAGTAACTCTAGTGTAATACTGATGTCTAATTTTGCTATCATTTCTGCTCAGTACTTTTCCCTCCTTTCTAAGAGTACCATGCAGTTCCATAAGAGGGCTGGATATGTTAACTCATCCCTAAATTTCTTACCCTTGCCCCTAGCAAAAGGACTGCAAATTAGATAAAGTAACTACATTTTTCAGACTGTGATACAGAACCCATTTCAAGCCATTCACTCATTAGAAAAGAGTATGACTTTCTTGAGCTGCATTATCAGAGCCAAATGTTTCATAAACTACAAAATGACATGTTTATTCTGTGTGGGTACTTAATTCTTAAATTTGCTCATTCGTTCATGCCTAACAGAAAAAACTAGGTTATTGCCTGCTCAGTCAGAAGCAACAATTGAAAAATAATTACACTGTAGCAAAGGCAAAAAATTCTTAAACTTTGATGCGCCTTCCAAAAAGTTACCATGAATTTCTCAATTTTCCTTCTTCTTTATCCCCCCTAAACCCTTTTCTCAGTATTGCAAGTTCATTTACTAGAAAAATATGTGTGCTGAATGGAAGCAACCATTTATTCTTTATCAACACCTTTGCAGCTAAATTATACTGCTGGTAAGTATACTTATTAAAACACATCTATTGAACAAAATTTGGATTAAGTACTTTTCTGTATTCTTTAAAGTTATATAACTACAAAAGATAATGTTAGTAAATGAAACATATACTTGGCTAATTAATGCACGCAATTAAAAGTACATAATTGTCTTTTCATTCCCATTTAGGTCTCTATTCAAAAAAGCACTTAAGAATATCCTGCTCTTTAATGTGACTACTGTACTCCCTTAGGCATATGACCAACCAAATATTTAAGGATGCACTTAGGAATGTGTTTAAGAGGTCTGCTGAAACCAGATGTTAGTGTAGAAGAGCATGCAAAAGAGAGCACTCATCCCCCTTGGATTGAAAAATCTATTAAAAATGCTTCTGAATTAAAAAGAAGCACAGTAAAATATGAGTTCAGTTCAGTTCATCCCAACTGAAAGGAAAAGCAGGAAATGCTCTCAGAGGCTGACAAAACCTGCTGTTTCTATCACTAAGTCCAAAGAAGTAAATCAAAGTAAGGAGTAAATACAGAAATTCACAGCACTTGCTGCACAACCCTCTTCAGAGTTTCTTGAAATCAGTGTTTAAGATCTTCCTAAGTGAAGAGGACAGAAAAAGCTGTCATTACACTAGCTGTTATCACAACTAACCTCTACATAATTAAAGCCTTTTTTCATATTCACTTTGTTACTTAGAAGCCTGTCTGCTTAGTAAACTCATAATGCAGCATAGACTGTTTGTTCATAGTTTTGTTTTTTTCACTACTACAACACCATAGCAACCCAAACACCAAATATTTATTTTCTTTCTCAAATACTGCAAGTTATTTTATGAAAAATTTTATGCAAATTGGGCAATACGTTGACTCATTCTGTTTGTCTCTCTTGCATGTATCTCTAAGGCACCTATCACCATGGTGCCTAAATGCTGTGGTACTATAGTTATTTGCCAGCTTTCTTGTATCATAAGTGGTGTCATCATTTTTGTCCCCTTTTATACAGCCTTTTTATATAAACTCTAAAAAAGTATCAGCTAGGACAGAACAGTCATGGATTAAATGCAAAGATGCTTTCTGCAGCAATAAACAGAAATCAGTAGTAAAATTAATCATTCTGTTTCCTTCAGTCTTCATTTATTCTGAAAATACAGTAGCTACTAGTAGAAGGTACTCTTTTGATAAAAGCATCTCTGATTTTAAAAATCCTGGACTGTACTTAAAATCACTTGCATTCCACCTCCAAACCAGCTCTTATAACCCACAGCTGTCCACACAACACTACACTGTCCTAACAATTTTTTGTAGTACATAATTCAACTTATTTCTCTCCTTAGAACTCATTCAGAGTGCATCATCCCCTAAAACATACTGTAATCATTTTAGCTCCAGACCAAAGTCATCCTACAAACAAGTTATGTTATTGTGAGACCCAGGCTGTGTAAACAATCCTGCAGAGCTTCCATGCTTCTACAAGTACAAAACAAACCAGGGATGAGAAACAGTGACATTTGTAAAGATACACCTTCTGCTGATGGTAAAAGTTAATATCTTTTTTCCCCCTCCTCCTCCTTTAATAGCAGTCAAATGGAGAGCACAGGAAACTGCAAATAAGCTTTATATTTGAAAAAAAAACTAACATGGGCCAAAACATTGTGATGGTGTATTTGGCTCAACTTAAAATAGAATGATTTTTCTCCCAAAATATTAAATGGAAACAGTATAACAAGAAAGAAGTGAAATGGAAAATTGCTAAAGCTGAAGAACATTACGCAGGAAAAAAAAAAGCAGCTTTTTTCTAACAGCTCTGCGATTACATGAGAAAGAGAGAAAGGATGTGGAGGAGGGGGAAAGGGATAGAGAGGTAAGACAAGGGAACATGAAGCAGACTGAAAACAGAATAGAAATAACTGTTATGGAAAGACTAAAAAAATTAAGAGAGAGCACAAAATCAAAGGGGCACATTCAAGACTTTAAATATTCTGCAGAATAGGTTTTCCATAAAAAACTTAAATGTAATTGGACATCATTTATAAAACTGGACTTTTTGTAGTTCATCTTGCCACAGGCCAGACTGCTTCCACTTCTCTTACCTACAGCATGTTTTATTCTGTGGAGTTTATCTTAATCTCTGCAATTCTACATCAAAAGATATCATGATATAATTTTCAGCCAATGTTTTAATTTAAAACCTTTTTTTTAAACCATTGGTAAGATAGGGTTATTACTGGAAGGTAAGTGCCTCCAAACAGAAAAATGTCTCACTTTTTAGTTGTTCTCAAGGATGGCAACAAAGTTTGTCAGCTGACATTTGGGGAAGCAAAAAGAGCTTGGAATTAATAAAGCATTACATTACAATTATTAATTAATAACATTAATAAAGCATATTTTGTCTTTCTTAATGGAACATATACAGGGACATTGTAAAAATAAAATACTCTCCTCTAACTTTAATATTCAGATTCTTCATTGATCATGATGTTTTATCACCAATGAAATGTACTACATTTTTAGCACATCCAAACTCATATGAAATGGATGATTTATATATATATATATACAGCACCTTACATCTTCAAAGTGTTTGTAAATAGCAACACCTTCATTCTCATCCTATTTCACTAATGCAATATGTAAGACTTGACATCAGAAATATGTAAAACAAGAAAATTTAGATTTTTCAAAGTACAACTGATATTAGAGAGATCTAAAATTTCCACTGATATATGAGAAACTCTGCCTAGATAAAAACTAGGTCTCTGTGAATTTCCACTCTGTGGAGGTGGGCACAGGCATGAAACCTCTTCCTTTGCAGAAAATAAATTAACATCACCATTTCTTTTCAGTATTACAAAATTTTTTGTTGACTGAATGTGCACAACCTCTGCCTTCCAAGGCATCAAATAATATCATTGATCAGACATAAATGAATCAGTCAAACGTGTTCAGCTCATAACCAACCCTTTTTCTGTCTTCTAGAAAAGAGTGGTTGTATTTCTGTCTAGCCCATGGCTATACATACAGCTATATTGCTAAGGCATTGCTTAAAATCCTGCCACATCATATATTTTATATGGCTGCATATGTTATATTTCAATACATTTTTGAAATTACTTAACTTGATGAATCTTCTTGCAGCTGGCCTACTGAATTTCAAGATTGCTAGCACAGCCAGTCGCTATGAGAGTTCAACCCTTTTGTACAAGCGACTGATAACTCTGTGACTGCTGTTAAATTCCTGGACAGATTAAATGAAGTTCACCTCCCCCTAGATCTGAAATCTCTTCAAGCTGCTTTTTTAAAGCCACATAACAAGTGTTTTGTCCTGACATTACCGTTCCACTTTTTCTTCCCTGTCTTAAAGGAATTTTCGTTCTTCTAGTTCTCATGGGAAATTGTGTTAAAATTCAGGAACCTGACCTTAGGTTGCATTGAATATTCCCATTGACTTCAGGCCATAAAAAAGGAAAACTGTGAAAAAGAGTTATATTCTGTCAGGAAGAATATGGCTCCAAATGCTGGAATCATCCTGACAGCTCTATTTCAGAAGTTAGCCAAGGAGAAAGAAAGGGCCAGATCTCTTGAAAATTACATACACATACCTCACACACATGTATACACATACAAAGCACAAAGGAGAATAGAAAAGAGAACCTGGAAAGAAACCCTGCCAATTTATCAAGTGGTAGATGAATTATCCCCAAGACTTCTATAGAAGCAGCAGCCACCCCATTTTAAGGTGAAATTTTATTTCAATCTCAGCTGCAGCATAATCTCAGATCCATCCATCCATGTTTCGCCCACTCCCCCTCCTTTCCCCTCACAGTCCCCCTGCTCCCTTCCCAACTCACATGTTGAGTAACTTTGAGACATCACTTCCTCTCCAGTACCACAGCTTTCATGGGTCTGTCTAGGTAGGAATTTCAGGAAGAAGGATTGAATTGCTTAAAAAAAACAGGTTAGTAAAAAATTTATTTCAATAAGTTTTCATCCCAGTTGAAGCTTATGAACTTTGTGTGTACCTTTTTGATAATTGTTGGTGTGTTTCAGAGTATTTTTAACGTTCTCCCCACCACAGAACATTTTAGGGAAAACTACTGGAGTTATATGGAAAAAAATTTGGAAAACTGGGTCTATGTGAGGTGTCTAACTCTTACTATTGTTCCACTCAATATCTACTATTTATTTTTCCTGCATGATGGCTTTGCTTCAAGCTCTCTGGAAATTACACTACACAGAAAGTTAAAAAAAAAAAAGCATTGGAATTTTCCAGTGTTTGGTCTTCCCTAATACCAGAAGCACATTTCACCTCTGAGTTTAGCAAGCAGACTCTTAGGTGCTGTTTCATTATTGGCTTAAGCTACCCTAAGTATGGAGTGTGCCAAGAGGCAGGCCCACTCACCACCTCCCTCCCCCTCCTCTCCTCAGATCTAGGTAAATACTCCTCTCATTTCATTATCAGTTCTCATGCTGCCTCAGAGTCAGCCAGATCAAAAATACAAAATGATCCACCTAAGATCTGAGCCACACACTAATTTTCAGATGGTTCCTGTCACAGCTGACCTTGAAGCCAGAAGTATGCTCATTCTCCCTAGGGAGACAGCAGAATATACAGCTGGAGCAGGAAGGGAAAGAGAGCTGTCCCACCATCTTCAGCAGCAGCACAGATTTAAATTTGCTGAAGCCTACTGCAAAACCACAGCTTTGTTATGTTAGGAACAACTCCCAAATGAACCAAACTGTACAAAAGAAAAAAGCAGACCTTGACCCTTGATTTTAATGTTTAAGGAAGACAAGAAAATACAGATATTCTCCTGAATCAGAAATGCCAGATGGCAGAGAGGCACACTTGAGTATGTTTCCAAAGCAGAACCAGTAATAACACCCTACACCTGGATGCTGTGCCTGCACTAACTCCTGACTTATAAGCAGTGCTAGTAATTATGGGAGCATATCCCTTAAGCTGTGTGTGAAAACGTGTACCTCAACAAATTTATTTCCAATACGTTAAGGGAGAAATTGTCTGGCCTTCTTGGGTGTGCATGGAGAGCACTTTGAGTAGCTGATGGAAGAGACACAATAATACCCATGTGCTGTAGTCCCAGTTTTCAGCAGTAGTGATCTCATGAGACTGATTGTATTAGCACTGCTGGTTCATGCCTTTTGATGCCCAGTCAGCTCAAGTTTACTGCACTTCAGTGTTTGAGCTGGAATGTTAGGAAACTGCAGCTATTTTAATAACCACTGCAGCACATTCAAATGTAAGAAATGCCTTTATACCACCTAAGACAGACAAAAGTATAGGGAAGCAGGGCAAACACAAGCCTGGTCCAGCCTGATTTTGTTGCCTTAAATTGGTGCCAGTGGGCTGTTTGGCTTCTGGGGCAGGAGGAAAGCAGTTAACTACCCTTGTGCAGTTCAATGCCACGAGAATACCTTAGTTTGATGTACAACTATCCAGAGAACCTGAAATGCTGCAGAAATACTTCCATTTTTAACAGCTGACAACAGCAACTCTAAGTGTTCCATTTATATTTCTGCTATGATACTTCAGAAGATCTTATCCTGGAACACTTGTGTCGGGTGACTAATTACATAAGAATTGTTCATTTTTGTCCTTTCTACCGCAGGAGTATGTTCACAAAGTTAGTCCTTTATCTGTGATGCACTTCTGAAAGAGAAAAACAAAAAAGACAGAGAAGCCTGGGGATTTGATTAGTTTCTTCCAAGATATTTAATTGCTATTACAGCCAGAAATATGTAATACACTATAATACAATTTTCTTTTTGAGAGTAAAATTTGGGTTAAATACTAGCACAAATTCCATGTGATAGCAAAGTAATCTCAGGAGTTTCAAAAAACAGAACATGGCAAGCTAGACTTCCACTGGTTATTTGTGGTTCGCTTTATAAATTTTGGGCACAGAATCAAACTTTAATATTCTATATAAAAAGCCAGAATCTTTCTAAAAAATCTTTTACAAATCAGCAAGACTGGAAACAATTTGATAGAAGACTTACTGTGTACGCTCTTTCAGCCATTTCACTAGAAACTCATTTTAGCTTTCTCTGAGGTAGAGATAAACCACAGCTAAGAGACAGTTATTAAATCTTCTTTATACATTCTGTATGAAATGTATTAAACCAAAAAAATACTATATTCAAATAAGGTTAAGGGTCTGACTTAAACCCACAAAGACATGGAAATTCAGAAATATTGTGTCTTCCTACCCTTTACTCTCTTCAGTGTGGCTATGTATTGTAGCAAAAATGACTTGTGCTCAGGTTCCTTAAACCTCTTCTTTATGTTACATTTCTCCTTAAAGGTACTTTCTATTTTAAGGTTATTTCAGTTTGCATTCTCTTTGTGGATTGAATTCTGCCCTGGACAGTCTGGGGGGTTTTATTGTTTGTTTGGTTGGGTTTTTTTAATAATTTCATTTTTTAAAGTCATTACAGAAACACAGATGTGAGAAAAATGAAGGAAAAGTATGTATGTATTAGTCTTGGCAACCAAATATTCTTGCTTTTATTTTTCAACACATACCTTACAAATCACACTCACGAGAGACAGGCAGGCAGATGTTGGACATGCATGACTCTCAGCAAGTGCAAGCACATGCTTCAGCTCTCTCCCTGCCCCCCTGCAGCTCCACTTAAACATATGTAAATACCTATTACATATTTCTCCAGTGAACTAAGTAGGAACCTTGCAGTTGACACTGCAAGACTTTGTGCCACAAAATGTCTTGGGGCCTTCTTCCATGATGGACTTTTTCCCCTTTTCCTGAATACAACAACGACCAGTGGAGGTCACACTTTATTCAAAAGAAAGTAAGATGCTTGCAGATCCTCCTTCCAGGGGGCTGTCAGCCTTGAAACCACCTCCTACACTGTGGTACAGTAGTTTGGACCTGCTGACCTCTTGGGCAAATTGCAAATTGTGTCTTCTCAAGATAACTTCAAGCAGGGAAATTCCACTGTGAGGAGGGGGAGGGTATCTTAGGAGGATGGTGGAGGTTTTTTTTCCTATATTCTACAACTGTAAATGAGTCTGAGTTTCTTTCCATGCTCTTTAATTTCAAATTATTATTTGTTTTTACTTAATTATTATCAGCATATTATGCAGTCAGGCAACTGTCTCCACGCAGCTATTATCTATAAATCTATATGCATTCAACAAATTGTTAGAAACTTGATAATTTCAAATGTGGCCTGGGAGTTCCCCTCCACGTGTTTCATAGATTCTGATAAATATGTATATTTAATTCTTTTATACTTACACATGCTACTGAAGAGTCAATTTTTAAAGATGAACAGCCAACGTAGACGATTCATTCCCTCTAACTGCTACTCCTGCCAACTGCTAAAAAAAAAGGACAATGGCCATTCCAACAAGAAAACAGTGTTGATTACACTCTGGTAGCCAGAGTAAAGGAGATGATTTGAGGACGTCCACAAACATTAATCTTTGCAGTCTGACTGTGATAAAAGTAAACCATTCAAAATCCTCAAACAAATAATCCTCAACAAAACAGTGTAAGACTATAAAATAATACCATTGATGTAGATTTATCTTAAGATACCATAGAACAAGACACAGGGGATTGAGAGAAATTCCTTAAACAGATAATATTTGACAGTAGTAGACAATCTCTGTTAAAGAGTAAGAGAAACAGAAAACAGTAGCCTTGACCTAGAAAAGGTATTTCTGCCTTATACAGCATAAAAGACAGACATTCAAGAAAAGCTCATCCATGAGAAATGGTGATCTCCTATTGCTGCCAAGGTCAGTCAGACCTGTTGTGATATGTTCTGTAAATGCTGACTCTATCACTTACAGTTTTCCAAGGACTTCCTTAACACCCAGAGCTTTTTTATTTTTATTGTGGAACAAAGTTATAACACAAAACTGTCAAACTAGAAAGCCCAGAAAAGGAAGACAGAGAGTCTTTATTAGACTTAAGAGTGACAACTCCATCGAGGAAACAAAACCCCATAACAGTTATAAAGAAGGGGATCTGAAATTCCTAGAGATCCACCAGAAAAATGCCAAAATCTCAGCAAGGAAGTAAATTTTGCTCTCAAGTCAGCAGTCCTAACAGTTTATCATGCCCCTTAAAAACTGACTGCAGATGACATGCAGATGACATATCTGTTTCAGCCTATCAAGTGTGAATGGAATGGGATTTATTTGCTACAACAGGAAGCTCTAATGTAAACCCCCAACATACTTTTATTGTACCTCAGTCACAACCTTTTACACTTGAAATGCCAACTGTGCCCATTCTGTGGTGCTTTTCTGACAGCAATCATAAATCCCAAAGGGAGAAAAATAGATTCAAGCAAGTAATTTTATTTTCTCTAGCTAAAAAATTAAAATGAGATAATAGATAAACTGTATTACCTTCTAGCCCTAAAAAATAATTTTTTTACTCTCTGAACTTTACTATACTTACATGTATTCAGAGAGAATAGAGTTTGGACCCCTCTCTCTATTAACATCTATAATTCTGAGCTTGAATTAAACTACTAATTAAATTCACGTAAAAGAATGTATTTAGACTACTTTTTTGCCTCACTGCTTTGGGGTGGGAGCCTCCTGTTGAAACACCTACCTTGCCCAGAGATTTAAGAAACATCTCTCTCTTCACAGAGACCTTGTGAATATAAATGAAAATGAAAATTTTCTTTAGCAAAAGACATCTGAAACAGAAAAGAAGAGGTTTTAAGTAAGCCTGCAATGATACCCTCATGTCAGGGGAGCTCATGCAGGGGCAATTCAACTCTGTTTGGGGGTTTATCAAATAGGACAATGATGACATCATTGTTCTGAATTGAAAACTGATTAATCACCTACTTGGCATCTGTCTTGCAGATGAGAATTCCCTGTTGAATGCCATGGGTAAACTGGTGATACAGACCCTTCCTCTGCTGGTGACCAGTCGTCTGCTCAGTCTTTACTTTCTCCTGACTATTCAGCTGACATATTAATATGTACATTTGTAAAATACCTGCAAATACAGATGGGTATTGTTAATGGTAGGAACCATGAATACAGATTTGTCCTCAAGACATCTGTATATGATGCAGTCTCCAGATAACATTTATACAACTTATATGAATCCTCAATTTTTGGAGGAGAAACCAAAATGCCTTTAGACAGCTTTTAAACCGTCAAATAAATTGTTGAAAATGTAACTTTCCTTTAAAAAAAATCTAAGTTACTGAACTCTAAGTACAAGTACAGGCCTCCAGTACACTTCAGAAAAAAAACAGCACAAAACCAAAAATTCCTGATTCCCTATACTTCTGGATGTTTCATGATTGATCTAACAAGATAAGTGGAAGAGTGGAAAATTGGCAACCTTAGCAGTTGAGTATATCTTGAAATTGAGAGCTAGCATACATCACACTGTGATGTATTTTTGAGCCTTCCTTCCTTCATACCATGTGGACAGTGTAGCTCATATAAAAACCTTGATAAGATAGATAATACAGTAAAAGAATAAAAGGAACTTCATGTTTCCCTTTGTTTCTCTGACCATGAGAAATAATCGAAAGCCCAGTAAAATGTTTTCTTTTGAGACTGGCCTACCTTCCCCATGTCTGCAAGGCCACATTTAATTTGGTAATTTGAATTGAACCAGCTGGCAGTGTCTTTGAGACATATGGGAATGGATCAAAGCTGCAAATATGCAAGGTGAATTTTACATTTTTATATTTCTTTCATGGTAATTTAAGTTCTTGATTCTCTGAGATATTTTGTCCTTAATTCCTACTGGGGGCAATGGCAGATGAGTTGTAAGAATCTTTTCTGAGATGCAAAACACAGTTCGGCTTCAACCCATGTGTCAATTCCTCCTCCAGTGTTAAATTGTCTGTGTATGATTTTTTTGGACTAAGAAGATATGGCAATACTCGGGTTTTCTCTCTGCTTTGTAGCAAAGGGAAGTCAGGGGCTCTCTTTAACTTTTAGAAGTGATTTGTACTTCCTTATAGAGGACAATTTATTTTCATACAAGTGTGATAATTTGGGGCCCATCATTTTCACCACAACAAATGAAATAGGACAGGAGCAATAGCTAAAATAATAAAATATCTAGCTCTTTCATTACACTTTGTTTGACACACTATCAGGTAGCCTTACAAACTGTTTAAATACTCTGAAATATATATTACACCTATTAAGTTTTTATCCTGTATTGAAGACCTCTTTTTTCACATTGATTTATGCTCACTTGTAAATGCACAGAATGTCAACACTTAAAATGAATCAATTTCTTAAAGGATTTGAGTTCATTCTGATTAAATAACCAGATTAATTACATTGTTTTAAATATTCTGCAATCTTAATATATTATCATTTGCATCTTCCCAGATCCAAGTGTCATATCCAGATTAAGAACATGAAACAGGACATCCACACAAAAGAGACAGACCCTTTGTCCTATTATTATTTAATTAACTACTATCTAGAAATGGATGAGCATTGGCCTTTGTTATGAATGGTAAACAGTGCTGTGAGTTAGTCAGTAAATCAAAAATTTCAGCAGGAGGGATTTTCTTAGCAAAATCTCATTGGTTCCCTTTTAGCTTATCTATTCCTCCTGGCTACCAAAGCAAGAAGCAAAATGATTTTCCAATCCAACTCTTTTAAAAAATATGCAGCAAAAAACTTTTCTTTAAAGAAGAGCCAGCCTCATGAAGAGATTCTTGTGGTGCCTAGCCTAAGTATAATAAATACTAAGCCATCATCACAGTCTCACATTTCCTTCTTTCTAGGAAGACCAGGAAGTCTGCTCTTTGTAATACATGATCAGATATCTAGTGCTCTCAAATAAAACTGGGTATATGTGTGTGAGATTTAAACAAAAAGATGTTGGACTGTTGTTTTTTAAACTAAAATACTTTATTTCTCTTTGGCTGCGTACATTAGTTATGTCTGCTGATGGCCCCCCAACACACTAGACAGACCAGCTGGGTCAGACAGTAGGATACACAAGAAAATAACCTGTCATAACAGACACAGTTACTTGTTCCACTGAATTCTGTTCACCTGGCCACTGCAAAGACTGTGCATTCTCAAATGAGACTGGTTCAGACTGCGGGTGTGTCCTAGCAGCACTCTGCCTCCAATGACTGCTCTAGACGTGACAGCCCAAACTGAGGGCAAATACTGCCACTACCTACTTCCATGTCCTCTACCTCCAGCTCTTTTCAGCTCAGAGGAGTTACTGATCCATTTATGGTTTGTCTATCTAACGACCTTCTTAGGTCTCCAGTCTGCTGTGTAAACCTCTTGCATCCACAATGCTGTTTGGCAAGGAATGCCATACGAGTTCTCCATTGCGTGGAGAGTATTTACACTGCACAGTCTAACTCCAGCAGACAGCATTTAAAAGAATAACTTTTTTAGTATTGGCAGATAAAGATCATGTTCCTCAAGGCATTTGTTCCTATTTATATGAGAAAGGCAATAACACTCTTCTCATATGCTGGTATAGCAACCTCTTTCAAGACTATTTTGGAGACATTCACTTGAATGTTGAATGGCTTTAAAAACTCAGTGCCCTTCTGAACAAATGTTCCTTCCTTTTGAGCTTCTAAAAATTGATTCATTCTTTTAAATCTGTTTTAACTTTTTTTTTTTTCTTTTTCTGGAAAATGCACTTCCATGAGCTAAAGTGGCCAAGTTTGATATACCATTGAATTATCCTGCAAAGGCCCTTGCTTTCTCAGTCCATAAAGGCAAAACCTACAATATTATTAACAATTTTAGTTCTGGTCTCCACAAACGCATTATTCTGAAAACCCTAGAGAACATGTTCCCTACAAAACAGAAAATGTTCTAACAGAATAATATATATATTTAGCTCTTTAATTTTTACCAACTGTACAGATAAGTGCCACAAATCTCAGGTGTTTTACCATCTTGATGATTAAATCATCTCTGTAAGTAGCAGGAAAAATTTTATAACTCTCAGGGCCTGCATCATTAAGTACTGAAAATAACTTGAAGTGCTGCGCAAAGCAAACGGTACAGTTGTAAACTCCTACAGACTCCAAGGAACCTGAAGCCCTTCCTAAGGCAGCAGTCAGTAATATTTCACATAAATAAAAAGCAAATTCTCTACTTTTTATTATCAGACACTCTAGTCATTCTGGTATTGACATCTCCAGCTCTGCATTAGCGTTTCTGTACCTGCATGCACTTGTATGCACCTGCACACACTGGTTGCCTAGAACAGCTCATCTCGAATTGCTGTATCTCTACCACCTCTCTCCACAATAGGCTGCAAACTAATCCACTGTCCATGAATAACAAGTTTCTCAACAGCAGCTTTTCAATACAGAGCTTGCAATCTGTCTCCCATTCACTTTGTCAAATTATGGTCCACATATCAGCCATTTGCAGCAGTGATATATCTGTCAGGCGTCAAGTACATCTCTTGCAAAGGAAAATCTTTTTTAGGATTTTTTAACTTTCAAAATGTCTAATCCCAAACATGTAAAATAATGAGTCAGATGCCAAAAATCATGAGGGTTTGGGCTTTTTTGTGTGTTTTTTTTTTTTAAATATGTTAATTTCTTTTCTTTTGCTTTCTGGAGCTTTTTCTAGGTCATGTTTTCAAGCTTTTCTCCAAGGCCAGAAGGGTTTCAAACATTATTAAAAAGAAAGCAACTCAGATCCTTTTGTAATTGCATGTTTAAGAAAAACATTTATTGCCATCAAACCTAAATTCTGTTGAACTGACAACCAAGTATCTTCAGAGATGTTTTTGATCAAATAATCCTGAAATAGGAATATTGCTTCAAACGTGTTTTCTCTAGAGTTTCATTTGCATTACTTACGTATTTTTTTCAGATAATTAAGCTTTAATGAAAGCAGGTTGTTAGACATGGAAGAAAGTCATGGCTTAACACAATCCTGAAGGGCTCTACAATATCAAAATATCTGAGGTGGAGATTATATATCTTCATATATGTATGTGTATATCCTCACACAAACAGTGATTTTTTTCACCTGAAATTTGCCAATTGCTCCCCCACAATACTGAGTTGCCTTGAAATCTTTACTGTAGAATTTTTTTTCAGTGATGAGAAGACAATTTTGTGTGGCACCATGCATTACAAATCTTCTAAGATTCTAACTGGTTTGTGATGGAAATGGTCATGAGTGTTGATAAATGTAACCATTCCTGTTAATCATCATAATCTCAGCTTGTTTGTGTGGCACTCAGTAATTCGTTTTTATTTAAAGGAGAAAAGACATTCCTTTCTTTTCATAACACAATTCCTCTGTTGGGCATTATCTAAGCTCAGCATAGTGTCCTTCCTGTATTCTTTCTCTTCCATCCTTTCTGCCCTGATTAAGACTACTGAAGACTCAGCAGGAAACCCAGTGGAATTACTCGTGGTGTCTTGAAGTCACCTTTTCTTTCATTGTTTTTGCCTGTTAAACCTTGTTATTGTTATGCTCATCAATCCCTCTCCCGCATCCCACTGGATTCCGAACTTTCCTTTGTCAGCATCCTTGTTTGCTCCTAATTGAGCTCCTCCTAATTTTCCCTACCCCATCCGCTTCTCCTTCCTTCCTCCCCTCACAGTTCGGCCATCTCCTCAAATGTCCCTCCTTCATCCTGTGCCTGGTGTCACCCTGTGTGCCCAGGCCTGAGCATCACCATTAATGGCGTAGACCCCAGATGACGAGATATTTCACGGGTGCGCTTTACTTTCAACTTGTTTCCTATTTTCTGGGACACGCTCATAGCCTATGTGTGCCACCACAAACTCTGGGCCGTAGCTTCCACTCTGCCGGGACTGGAGACGAGGGCTCTGCTGACAGCGCGACCCACACCAGCCTCAGAGGGCTGCCAGGGCGGAGGGGTCGCCCGACCCCAACTTTGCCAAAG